ACTAAAATCCAGAGCAATACAAATACTACAAATATTTCTCATGATTGAGGCCCTTTTTATATATTGAGTCCTATTCTTTGTATTTATTTAAAGGTGAATCAGTGTACACAAAGGTTTTTTTATCTACAGAAAATGATGGAGCAGAATATACTTGATGGAAAATACCTTCTGCTTTGGACATTGAGATCATACTGAAGCCAGCAGATAAAAACATATGTTATTTGGAATATGGGAGATTGCAAAACCTTGATAATTAACAGAATAAGTTGAGAGAGTTTGACACATGAACACGAATAAACTAACTGATTGAGGCAGCGGTAGACTGGCAACTCCCTTATTTTGAAGTAAGTAAAATGTATGTTTTTTTTTTTTTGTTGAACACTGCTGTATTAGGATTCACAAAATACGTCCTGACAACATAAAACTTAAAGTCTAGGATCCAAGAGGTTGTGGGGACCGGATTCACAGCTTACTCTGCCACGTACAACTATCTAGCTTTTTTTTAACTTATAATAAATATATGTGTTTAGGTTTATAACATATAATTATTGTATATATTAGTGTTAATCACCTGAATGTAAGGATCGTTGTTTTGTCTGTACATTAATGAAAATTAATACATGATCTCCTTCTTGATCTTTTTTACAATACCATGTTTAGTTGTAATAGAAATAAATCCAAATCAAATTCAGACCTCAGTATTCTAAATTTTAGAAAAGTCCGATCCACGTTTGAGAGCAGCAGGGCAACAACAGGGGGGTTTTTTGGAGCCCAATGAAAGGGGGAGAGCCGCCAACATTGGTCTTCAAACAGTGGAATATGCACTAATGCAAGTCAGATTAGCTCGAATTGTGTATCAATCACCAGCTGATGCAGTGAAGAAAGGAAATGGCTATCATTCTGTCGGTGCATACAAATGAACCATTCTTCTTCAACCACAGTAAGAACATCAGTGGGCTGTTTATGGGCCGGCCAGTGGGGCACAGTATTGTCGGATCCATTGCTGTCTGAGGCAGCTCCGCTCGCCCTGCGACTTGAAGCACCCAGATGAGAACCTCACCCCAGGCGTGGCGCCCGTCAAGGAAGAAGAGCCTGTGTATCCAGGTCAACTGCAAGTGTAAGTGGAGGAGACGGTGCAAACTGGCTTTTGTATCACTGAAGTATACTGTCATCCTTTTTGTATATACATTGTAAGGAAGATTATGTAGTCAAACTCCAACAATCCCAGCAATTAAGATTACCTCAGAATGACGTACAGTAAGTTACTGGTAATCCATCCATTTATACCTTAAAGGTAGGGCCTGCTTTTGATACATCTCCAATGTCTACCAGTCCCTAGACTTTATTAGCTTACTGCTGTTGAAATTTAATCCTTACAATTACGTCAATACCGTGAGTTTTGGATTTGCCTGATATCAGATCCATTAAAACCAGTGTTTCATAAATTCTTTCTATTATCCCCTTTGAATATTTTTTAAAACACGCAAACGTTTTGTAGAAAAAAAAAAGCCTCAATTCAGCCTGCACCCACACATCAACCAATTTTTTGCCATCACATATTTAAGACGGAATTGAGTTGCATGAACTTCTTTTTGATTAAGTTGCACTTGCAGTTTTAGTGAGAAACATGAGTTTGTTCAGTGAGTCACGGCCACTGCGAGATCAAACTCTTCTCCAGAGTTTCACTGCAGTTAAAGTTGCAGTAGGCAACTTGTTTCATAAAAAACATCATAGGATCATATTTACTGAAACTTTCACTATATCCTCACAGTAGTACATGAGACAGATAATGTGTGGAACAGTCAGGTCCTCTGGGTCCTCCTAGTCCCTAATGGTATTTGCAAGAATCCACAGTCTTACGAAAAAAAACAATCAGAGTTGAGAAAGTATAGGAAGAATAGAAAGATGCTTTGGGTTGGAGAAGTTGATTGTTGAGTCTCATTCCAGACCCAGAGTGTTTGATATTTGATGACCTGACAATGAAGCTATACAAACAACGTCGTCGCTTCTATTGGTTGTTTCCATTCAGGCCCGGTGGATTCTTGTAAATACCATTAGGAGGATTTTTTTCACAGATTATCTGTCTATACTACTTCCAGGATATTAGTGAAAGTTTCGCAAATATGACAAAAACGTTATTTTTACTGCACTTCTAA